ATGATTACTTGCATTATCTACATTATTCGGACTGTTATCCTCATCTTCATTGCCATATTCACAACATTGTGGCCGCTGTACGCTCCGGCCTTCTTCAGGTGATTGGAATTTCGAACCGAGCTCTTTATTTCGTCCACCGGAGTAGATTGTTCTAGTTCCACATGCCATGCCTCTTCCGGATGTCTTAGTTATTTCCCTTTAACTCAACTCTCCAAATTTTGGTTCACTACTGCTGTGGCCTGGTATTGAACTCACAACTCTTTGGCTCTAGTCACTGGATCTAACCAACTTGTTCCACAAAGTAGCAGTTCTTGGAAAAAACACTGCTTTGGTTGAACTTTCACGTTACATTTGGAACACGGAGGAAATACGCGTGATTCGACTCGATGGACGTAACATGTCGTGTTCTGTCTGTAAATGTCTGAACTTGTGAGACTAAAAAATGAATACAGAACGATATTCACAGGAGATTATAAGTCATTGGAATGGAAACTTCTCTTTTATTTTTAGGTATTTTGCTTATTTCGTTTTTATAAAGAATATGCATTTCGGCATCAGAATCTGAACTCTCTGTGCTACCCATTGTAACATGTTTCCCATTGTGTTACCAGACGTTTCCGATATGCGTCGTTCATTTGAAAGATTTTAATTATTTTAAAAAGTAATGACAATAAACTTATTTAGGATTCGAACCTTCGAAAATATTTCCGAACTAAAAACAGTCAAGAAAAAAATGTTAATAAAATTAACCAATAAAGAAAGTTAAAGTATAATAAAATTTTCAATGCATGAAGCATAAACTAAGACTTTTTTTTTCTATGTCGGCAATACAGTTAAATTTCCCAGAATAATTCTGTGGAGAAGACAATTTAAAATTTAGTTAAAAAGGAAGTTTAATGTACAGTGTAACCCGGATATAAAAGACCCGGATATAAGAGAAACCCGGATATAAGAGACTTCTCCGGTCCTGACAACTCTCTTATATCCGGGTTACACTGTAACTATGACAACAAAACATTTATTTATTTTATCCTTTCCCTCTATCTTAGCGAGAGAGCCACTTGATTTTGTCTAAAGACAGAGCAGCCTTTCTTAAATCTTTTTTGAGGGCTTGACAGGTCCAATTATCTTTATTTTGTACATTTGTTTTGATATTTTTGTTTTGTTTTGGGGATTCATAGCACCACCACCACCACCACCACCATTATTTATCATGTATAGATTTTATATATAGAATTTTTATGCTAATTAAATCTTTATGTCATGGGGGTGAGTTTTTGTAGGTTCCTTGAGTCTCTGCGGTATTATGGTACATGGAGGATTGAATGATGATGGATGAGTTCTTGTGATGGATGTGCAAATTGTAACGAGTGGATGGGTCGTGAATCTGATTAGTTAGGTATAAGATAGTAAATGACGATCAGTCTTAACCTGTTGTGACCTTGTTAGGGCCACAAATAAAGACACAAGAGAGGAATTGAGTTAAACAAATATATTAACAGAAAGAGTAATGTAGCTGACTGCTGGAAACTTCTCTCTCCAAAAGGCAGTACCTGCTCCTATTTATAGCTGGAAGAGTCCATGCGTGCTTGGATAAATTACCATAGCACAACCCATTTCTACCTTTTAGGCTTCGTGCCTCAATTGTATTTTATCTCTATTTATAAAAGGCAAGATGTGTGTGTGTGTGTGTGTGTGTGTGTGTGTGTGTGTGTGTGTGTGTGTGTGTGTGTGTGTGTGTGTGTGTGTGTGTAACGAATGCATGGCCGCAATTTTTGACGGATTTGCACCAAAATTTACATGCACATGCTCCAAGTTAGCGGGAAGGCCAAGACCGACTTTGTATTTCGCAACTCCCATCGATAGTGGAAATAATCGATTTTTTTCATGCTTCTACGGCAGTTTTCATGTAGTTTGCAGCCATTTTGTACTGGCCAGAGTGAGAGGCAATAGCTGGCTGCCACGAATAGGCAGGAAGATTCTATTGGCCAGCGTGAGAGCCAACAGCTGACTGACACGAATGTTAACTAGCATGCAAAAAAATCGATAGCTGCATTCGTCACAAGTGGGAAAAATTTAAATCTACATTGCACTTTATTCCAATTGGCTCATTCACTTGCTTAAACTCAATGTTGATTCTGATTCCCCAGAACGGGGTTGGGTGTGAAAAAGTATTTGTTGTTAACATTCTTTTATCATCCGGTTTTTCCAGTTACGAGTCCATTTTTAAAGCTGATCGTTTTGTGTTCATTTTGTTTAGTTCTTTTTTCGTAACAGATTTAATGTTTAGTATAGAGCTTAGAAAAAATTCGCAGTGTGAGATAGGCAAGAAGTAAGGCATGTAGCAACATCAGCATGGCAAAAAGTCACTCCTTTAAAGGCAAGGAAGGGCAAAAATATTTTAAGTCAAATGATAGCGATTGCTGTATGAGTTGTACGATTTTTGAATCAAGCACGGGCAACGCCGGGCCATGTTGCTAGTATGCAATAAATCTTGACAACAAAATATTTAGCTTTCATTGTTTGCCTTGATAAAGTCGGAAGACAAAACGAGTCGGCAAGGTTTTTTTCCAGTTGTCATTTGTATACGAATGATACATAAAATAAAAGAATGCAACTGATTTAGTTAATATTTCGATGTTTATTTATACACTCATGGGAAAATATCTTTTAAAAAGTTTCTGATGTCTAAGGTTTTTATGTCTTCGTGTAATTGGTGTATAGATTGAAACCACAAAATATAAAACTGATATGGCATTTATTCATGAGTTATTAAAATTAATATCTTCATCTTTGTTATTTTGTTCACAGTGTTTCACTTAGTGCCAGTACAATTAACACATCATCGTAGGAAGGGTTTGTATTCCGATCTGGGAACTGTTCTAAAATGTAAGCTATTCCAAAATTGTTCGAGTGGATATTTGGAGAATACATTCTCGGCAGAAATGATGACGATAGTTCGAATAATAAAAGAAGCAATCATTTCACTGTTTAGGTAGAGAAGACCAGAGAGCACACTATACGGAACGCAGGGAATCAAAACAATAAAAGTAGAGATAATCATAAAAATAATTTATGGAATAATGACAAATCATCGTCCGAGATATTCGGAAAATTGTGGCAAACACAAAAACAACAAACATTGAGATACCCATCAAAAACATCACTATACATTACCTCAGAACCTTAGCCAAATCGGTTTCACCCATATATATGATAATTTGAATATAACTTGAGGTTTTATATATATATATATATATATATATATATATATATAAACCTCTGTTATATTTAAATTATCATATATATGGATATATATGATAATTTGAATATAACTTGAGGTTTATATATATATATATATATATATATATATATATATATATATATATATATATATAAACCTCAAGTTATATTTAAATTATCATATATATGGATATATATGATAATTTGAATATAACTTGAGGTTTATATATATATATATATATATATATATATATATATATATATATATAATTATTTTATAAAAAAATTTATAACATAAGTATGTTATAAAATCACTAAAAAATAGCCATTTTGTTTCAACACACTCTGTGTCTTATCAAGTGATGGTGTTGAAAAGAAAATAAATGGTTTTAAAAGTTTCAGATTAATTAACGATCCTACACTAGGGGGAGCATTGTTACAAAAGCTAGAATAACCAATCAAAAACGAAGTACAGAAAGATTCAAAAGCTTGACAACAAAATCCTGCTATTATAGCTATTTAGATCTTTAAATACGTGTAATATTAAAAATAATTTTTACTAACTAATAATTATAAATTTATATGATAAAATTTAATATTAAAATTAAAAACTGGCAATTTTAAAATCCAAATTTTAATCACTATTAAGTTTAAAAATTACAAATTTATTGAAAAAGGAAAAAAATATATATGTTTATTCAATTCATTTCTTCATTGAAATTACGTCTGACAAGACAAAAAGCTACAATTCGTCCGGTCATCTGATAATACATATATATATTTTTTTCTTTTCCGTTTTTATTTTAAAGTTTGTGAATATGGTCTTAAATATATAAACCTCAAGTTATATTTAAATTATCATATATATGGTTCTATGAAGAAACAGTTTTAAGGTGTGCTATAGTTATTGGCTAAAGCGCTCAATATCAGAGATAGAGCGTATGTAAATATAAATATAAAAGTGACCATTGAAGTCAACACACATATGCAACGGGCTGTTTTCATGCTAGACGGAATCGTCATTAAAACTTTGTCACTTAGCTGACTGATGTTATTTTCAGCATCCCGACTTCAAAGTTTCGTAGCCGGACCTGTCCGTCCACTCTTCAGTGAGTATCAAAAAGTAGTTACTTAAAAGCTCTAATGGATAATATATATATATATATATATATATGATTTGAATATAACTTTATTATTAATGCAGGTATTACGTTTCAAAATGATTTCGTTTTCTGTTTATTATTTTTTAATTTATCTCTGGAACATACCAATGCTGAAAATTTCCAATGTTTAAAGGGCTTCTGGCCAAATTACGCTGAAACACCGTATGGGCACTGAAGTTAAGCAACACCGAGCCTGTTAAGTACCTAGATGGGTAACGGCATGGGAATACTACGTGCTGTAAATTTGGACGTGACGGTGGTGTAATGGATAATGGCTCGAAATTTTTCAGCGAAGATCCAAGTTCTTTATTCCAGTTGGGTTCGTTATATTCAATAATACTCTTACCAAACTACCTCTTCTCCCCACAGCTATGGGTTAATTAGTATCACTAAAACCATTATTATCTCAAAAATATTTTTTTTTAAGATTAAGATAATAAATAACCAATAGAGGTTGATATACCGATAAACAAAATAATTAAGCAATGTTTAAGCAAATTACCAAATATTGGATTGGAGCAGGAAGCAAATGGCTTCTTGGTCAGGCCAAGAACATTCTTGTCATTGCCCCGTGTTAATAAATGATAAAGCCTTTCAAACCGAATCGATTTCTAATAACTGGATTTCCATACTTTTTCTTTCCTGTCCTTGTTTTGCAAATGGCCTTCTTTCCTGGCCATTTCGAATTCGAAAAACCATTCGACTGACGCAAGGGATTGTCAAGAAAAGTTTCATCGCAAGCACGAGGCAAGGAAGGGCACAGCAGAGGAATGAGTTCCAGTAAAAGAAACTCGACGGGTGCTTCAGCCAACCGCGGAAGGACATGACGAAAACGTGCGCGACGGCCAGAAGTAGTGCCGTGTATCCCATCTGGCTTTGTACAAGACGCCATTCGCGCCAGTTAAGAACGGCACTCACAGAAGGCAGTGAAGAAATTGCAATAAGGCTTAGGAGCAACAGAGACATTAAACCTAAACTGACTGCAGATTCTCCGATAGCATTAAGCCTGTACGTGGTCTTTGCGTTCGTTTGATTTGGTTCCCAATTAGCTGACGGTTCGTACCACCACTTCATTGAACCTGGAGATATAAAAACGATCGACATACCAGCATGCCAGATACTGAATAAAAAGGCAAAAAGACCGAGCATTTTTCGACACCTTAGCCACAGATCAAGCCAACAAGGGAACAATCTATATTTCGTTCCATGATACAACTGTATAAAAGCCGCTATACAGCCAGGTAGGTATGTTATTGCAAGTAGGGTTATTGCTGTGAGACATATAAGTAAATTCAGAAGAGTTAGCGGCACCCTCTTCCATGGGAAAGAATAAGTAGCCTTTGAGTATTTGACGCTGTATTTAATTACCATAATACCAAGCCAGACAAGCAAGACACCAAACGAAATAACAGTCGGTCGACCCCAACCAGATAGTAGCTCTAATGGATAAGATTCTAAACGTCGGGACGCTTGGAGACCTCCACTATAAACAGGACAAAAGCCCATATCCCGTACAATAGAGGCCACTATTTCCCGCGCTGAGACATCGTCAGCGGCTAGGTGCACACGCCGAAAGGCTTCGACTATCGTATCACTGTGTAGAATTTCGGCGGACAATGTGTTCAATCCTTTGACGATTCGGGCTTCAGGGAAATGACTGGCTAATTCCTCAGCGTTGGATCCGGTATGGCATAATTCGGTCCGGTTGGAGCTATCTACCAATATTTTGTCACTTAGAAGCGATCTGAGCGGAGACAGAATAGCGGTGACGTTTTGGTGGTGAACAGCCAGAAAAACAACGGAAACATCTTGACTTAAGAGACAGTTTTTCACACTTCCCACGGTAATTTCTTTCAGGATCGAATCATCAAGTGTTGTAAGGCTCCGTTTGGAAGGATTACGACTTCCCATTGTAACTTGATAACCACTAGAAACCAGTCGACAAGCAAGAGCTTGACCAAAATTTCCAGTTCCAAGAATTGCCACTTTCTTATTTCCCGCCATTATATGCCAAGAATCTGAAAAAGATAAATTCAAAATAAAAAGAACAGCATTCAAATCAACATTTAAAAATAACTCGTTTACAAAATTCGTCGTAACTATTTGGACAAATATTCATATTTCATAGGATCTCATAAAGTCTGTTCCAATAACTTGGACCGATTTTAAACGTGAATTAAGTTTAAGTGTCTAATAATTTTTTTCTTTTTCTTTCAGATTTGGCAGACATTTAGGCGATATTATTTTCACACATAATTGCCATGAAAAATAACATGATCCAATAAAGAAATGAATATATTTTCACCAATAACACTGATTTATTTACTGCTGACTTTGATCCCTCTTAATGAAACACCCTTATATATAATCCCTCTTAATGAAACACCCTTTATTATTATTCAATATTATGGCTGAAGCTATATTATTCCTAGGGCAAATTAAAATGTTAAAAAAAGTGTAATAGTAATGCAAATATATTTAACATTGAATTTAAATATATTCAATATACACGAAAATTAAAAGTAAGACAAACACATTCAAAAGTAAAGAAATAAAAATAAGGCTAACTTTCAGATGTAAGACAAGTAGATTAAAAAGTAAAGCAAACATATTTAAAGTAAGCAAATTAATAATCAAGGCAAACATATTCAAAAATAGGACCAGCAAATTAAATAGTAGCCAAACGTAGTCAAGAATAAGGCAAGCAAAATATCTAGTAAAGCAGACATGTTCAAAAATAGGACAAGCAAGTAAAAATAGTAGGCACACTTAGTCAAAAATAAGAAAAGTTATTTAAATAGTAGGGCAAGCATATTCGAGAATAATACGAGCAAATTAAAAGTAGATAAACGTACTCAAACTAATTAAGTAGTAAGGCAAACGTATTCAAGAATAGGACAACCAAATTAAATAGTAAGGCAAACATCTTCAAGAACAGAACTAGCAAATTAAATAGTAGGCAAAAGTAATGAAGACTAAGGCAAGGTAATTAAATAGTTAGGCAAAGATATTCAAGAATATGACAAACAAATTAAACATTAGGCAAATGTAGTCAAGAAAAAGGCGAGCTAATTAAATAGTAAGGCAAGCATATTCAAGAATATTATAAGCAAATTAAATAGTAAGGCAAATATATTCGAGAATAGTACAAGCAAATTAAATAGTAGGCAAACGTAGTCAAAAATAAGGCTAGCTAATTAAATAGTAAGGCAAACATATTCAAGAAAAAGGACAAGCAAATTAAATAGTAAGGCAAACATATTCAATAATAGGACGATTAAATTAAATAGTACGCAAACCTAGTCAAAAATAAGGCAAGTTAATTAAATATTAACGCAAACATATTCAAGAATAGGAGTAGCAAATTAAATAGTAGGCAAACGTAGTCAAGAATAATGCAAGCTAATTAAATAGTAAGGCAAACTTATTAAAGAATAGGACAAGCAAATTAAATAGTAAGGCAAACATATGCAAGAAGAGAACAAGGAAATTAAATAGTAGGCAAACGTTGTCAAGAATAAAGTGAGGATAATTAGAATAATTAGAGATAATTAGAATTAAATAGTAAGGCAAACGTAGGCAAACGAAGTCAAGAATAAGCTAAGCTAATTAAATTGTAAGGCAAACATATTCAAGAATAGGACAAGCAAATTAAATAGTAAGGCAAACATATTCAAGAATAGGACAAGGAAATTAAATAGTAGGTAAACTTAGTCAAGTACATCAGGCAAATTAGATAAAAAAAACAAATATATTAATGAGTAATGCAAGCAAATTAAAGATAAACAAAATATATTAAAATCTAACATAAACAAATAAGTCAAGCTTAATCAAAAGTAAGGTAAAAATTTTTTGAAAAAATAAGGCCAATATTCCCAAGAGTAAGGTATGAAAATTAAAAAGTAAGATATTGTAGCGTTACAAAACTTAATTATCTGCATTTGACTCCGCCATAATTTATTCGCGTGTCAAAGGGTCAAAATTCTGTGATGTGACTGTCTGGCGCGATAAATACGCCCTTACTACTGTGTCCATTTCTTCATTATTTCTTGAACGTATTCAAATTTAGAAACAAAGAAAATAGTTTTAAACTGTTACGTAATATCCGCTCTCCTCTCTGACAGTGGAAGCTGTACAATCTCCCCCGCACAAATAGAATTGCGGTAACAGAAATATGGTTCTACAGTAGGATGCTGAGGATGCCATGAACTGAACATGTGAGCATTGAAGAAGTTTTAATGAAAATGGAACAAAATGGAAACTTATACAGGCAATTTGTAATTTCTAAGGAACATAATGAAGAAAAGAAGGCTTGGAAAATTTGATGCTCACAGGACAGATTGAACGTAAGAGGCCAGAGGAAAACGGCGCACAGCCTGCCCGGTGAGCTTGAGCGAGTGTATGGCAGAGTAGGGTTTGGGAGAGATGACAAAAGGACAAAAGTTATTGTGGACTAGAAAGGATTGGTAATTATGGAGAGCCGTGATCACCATCACCCGGAAGTGATACGGCACATGGAAGAAGAAGAATTTATTGCGTTACTAAACAAGAACATTTCATTAGAAACAAAGAAAAGAGTTCTAAACTTATATAATATCGTTTCTCCTATAGAGCAGTGGACGTTGCACAGTTGCACCCCCTGCGCCCTCACAAATATAGAACAGACTTGAGGCAACAAAAGTGTGGTTCTACAGAAGGATGCTAAGGATGCCATAGGCTGAACATGTGAGCAACAAAGAAATTTTAACAAAAAGGACACTTAAAGTTAGAACCAGGGAAAATTAGTTGAAATTTCTTGGCTACATAATGAGGAAAGAAGGCTTGAAGAAATTAACACAGACGGGACATACTGGAGTCAAGAGGGGAACAGCAAGTTTGTGTAAATGTATAGCAGAGTGGAGACTAGAAGGGATGGTAAGGAGACAAACACTGCTCAGAGCTACGAGGAGTTGAAAGATATGGAGAGCCATGGTCGTCTACGTTTTGAAAGGAGATGTTAAAAAAATAATTACGGATGCGGCCAAATTCAGCGAATTACACAGTCCACTACACATGCATGATACTCAGTGAGAATCGAATTCACCATAGTAATTATAGACTGTTAAACAAACTTGTAAGCCATAGCCCTATTGGCGAAGTATCTCAGCTAAGTGGTCAAATATCTACATACTTATAAAATGTCACGTGAGTGTTTTTTTGCATTTTTTTTTCTTTTTTCTTTTGTTTTCACTTTTCTGTGTCCTTTTAAAGAGAAGGTTACGAAATGTATTTTTCTAACCGCCATTCTCCCTCCGACACGATATAATACAATACTTACAATATGAAAATGAGGTTATGGCTTTCGGCGCATGCGTGTTGTACGTATTCGTTTACTGGAGCATTTATCTAAATGCTATCCTTCTTTCTTGGAACACAATTCAGAGATTTTTTTTCTTTAACTTTAATTCGTTGATATTATACGTAGATATTCTTCTTTTCAGATTTTGCCAGTGATTCACATAACATAAATAATAGAATTATTCTTTGGCTCTTGTTTAAAATCAATTTGTGATTTTCTCTCGGTAAAGACAGACAGTAATTCGATATTCTAGTAGTGTGCGAGTATATTTTCTCTGACCCGGGGGCTATACCTGCAATTACCTACGAATGAAGGAACTGACGAATAATAATAATAATAATAATAATAATAATAATACCTATAAGTTGATCACATCTGTTCTGACGAACAGTACTTACTCTCTTTTCGAAGCAAACAACATTCTTCCAGTGGAACAGAATGGATGCAGGAGAGGATCATACGTTTGCAAAGATCAACTTCTGATAAATAAAATGAACCTGGAAAATTGCAGGAGACCACGTAGAAATCTTAGTGCAGCGTGGATTCATTATCGTAAAGCCTTTGATAGTGTGCCGCACTCTTGAATCCTTAAGATTTTGGAAATGTATAAAGTTTCCCTGCGATAGTAAATTTCCTTAAGCACAGCATGAGAATGGGGAACACCACACTATACCTAAATCACACCAGAGGCACTGCCATCTCCAACAGCCTGAATATCTGATGAGGAATCTTTCAAGGAGGTTCCCTGTCACCCCTTCTGTTTTGTTTGTCCTTAATCCTCCTTACCCATGAACTAAACGACAGTAGCTATGATTACAAAATAAATAAAAAGTAATTCAATCACCTACTCTACATGGATGATCTCAAACTCTTTGCCAAAGACGACAATGAGTTGAAAGGCCTCCTCAATATTATAAAATGTTTCAGTGACGATATAGGTATGGACTTCGGATTAGATAAATGTGCAAAAATAACATTCATGAAAGGGAGAATTATAGAAACAACCTCAACAGATTTAGACTTTGTCACAAAGATTAGGGAACTGGAAGAAAATGAAGCCTATAAGTACCTAGGAATTAGCGAAGGAGATGGCATACAACACCCCCAAATGAAGAAGAAGGTAAGAAAGGAATACTACAAGCGTGTACGTCTGGTACTAAATACCGAGCTGAACTCAAAAAAACAGGATATCAGCCATAAACACCTTGGCTGTCCCTGTGGTGCAATACAGCTTTAATGTCCTTAACTGGACCATAGCTGAAATTAAGCGAATGGACGCCAAAACGAGAAAGCTTCTCACTTGCTATCGCATGCATCATCCCAAAGCTGATGTTGACCGTCTGTATGTGCCCAGATCCGAAGGAGGCAGAGGATTAGTTCAACTAGAACTGTCCTACAAAACTACAACAATTGGCCTCTGTGACGGTTACACACCTGGCCCAGGGTCGGATCCTTTGGTTACGGCGCCAACGGTGACGTCGCTCCTCCTGGTCGCTCCTCCTGGGTCCAAGCGTGCCGCTCCAACCCCTTGGTCAGATGATCACCAGCCTCGCCTTTCCCGACTCGCTTCCAA